AAAATAATAGGGTTCAGGGTTTGCAAGTTCCGTGCATGGTGTAATTTTACATACTTGGATGACATAGAAGAGTCAAGTATTCATAACAAGCGTAAAACTAGGTGCTTACGCTTTTTTCATGAACAACCCTATCTGTAACATCTGACGACCTTTAGCATTCAAAGTACCGTGTAGAAACTACAAGGAGTTTGTTAATTATTTCTACTTGGTGGATTTGAAGTATTTGGAATTCCAAGGTCCCTTCAGTTCCGGCAACAGAAGTCTACATCCATTCCCAGAAGAGCGTTACCATATCCGATGGTTGTGGTTTATATACTTTGAACAAAAAATTCGTAAAGGCGCTCTGGCCATCAACTTATATTGAAGGTGGAGTATGTTGGAATTTTAGGAAAACCCGCTGAATATCTTCTGACTAAGCGCCAAAATTTGTAACATCAATAATAAGACGGCAGGTTAGGAGACCTAATTGGGGCATTTTTGGTCCAGCAAAGTTCTTCCGTCTGCTTTAGTAGATTTTTTCAAGTAACTATACGACGGTTTGTATCTAAACGCCGCTGTTGCATCCGCAGTTATCACTACCACTGGAAGTTCTTCCCGGTCACAAACAACTCGCCGACGAAAGAAGTACCTACAAAAACCCATGTTGGTAAAGATTTTCGAAGTTAAGTCACTTAAAGTCACATTCTTGCGGGAATAAGGCTTTCGCACTTGAGCTCCCTATTCATATCCAACAATCGCAAAAAAATTTAAATCTAATTCTACATATGCCAACTGTAGATATGTGTGAGCCAGTCGCAAGCTCCACTACCGACACAATATTCATTATATGCACAACAGTTTCTCAGCAAATGAGAATCTAGTTTGCATTTAAATGTCTCAATAGTTTCTTAAAAGACCACCTCGTCAGGGAATCCGTTCCACGCTCGAACGATCCTCTACAGAAAGGCGTTCCGTCGAACGTGCATATGAACCAATTTCCTCCGCAGTTTAAAGGGATGACCCCGCAGATGGTCCGTCCGGGTCAGTTCGAATAAGTCATCACATTCTAGGGCGCACTCACGGCCTCTGACTATTCGGTAGGTCTGGATGAGGTCACCCTGTAGTTGTTTGTAAATGAGAGGAAACGATTCTATTTCAGCCAGTTTGTCTTTGAAAGGCAGATGACCAAGATTCTTGGGCATCTTCGTAGCCCTCGCCTGCACTCGTTCCAGGTGCAGCTAATCCTTCTTAAACCACGGACGCCGGGTCTAGATGGCAAGTGGGACCGAGCAAATGCTCCGTTGCTTTTTCTGAACAGCTCCTAATCGATCTGAAGGAATCTCCGTTTTAGCATAAACAACACCTGTGCCACGCGTTCAGCTGCCTATGAAGATGATTTAAGCCAGAAGGTTATAAGAACACCCAGGTCCTTCTATCCGTCAACATTTTAGAGGGACTGCCCGTCGAGAAGGTACTAGAATGAATCTTCCTCCTCACATAATCTTCTTGTACTGAACCTTAAAATCACACACTTACTAACGTCGCAATTAAGAGCCAACGATCAGACTAATTGTTAAAT